GGGTAAATAACATGCTACTGAAAAACAAATGGGTTAACCAAGAAATCAAAGAAGAAATCAAAAAGTACATGGAATCAGGGGCGCCTGGGTGGCTTAGCTGGTTAAGCATCCGACTCTGGATTTCAGCTCAGGTCATGAACTCACAGTTTGTGGGTTCAAGCCCCACATCTGACTCTGTGCTTACAGCATGGAGCCTGCTTGGGACTCTCTCTCTCTCTCTCTCTCTCTCTCTCTCTCTCTTTCTCTCTCTCTTTCTCTCTCTGTCTCCCTCTCTCTCTGCCCCTCCCTGCTCATGCTCACTCTCTCTCTCAAAATGAGTAAACGTTGGGGGGAAAAAAGTACATGGAATCAAACAAAATGGTCCAAAACTTTTGGAATGCAGCAAAAATGTTCTAAGAGGTAAGTTTATAGCAATACAGGCCTACATGAAGAAAAAAGAAAAATTCACATAAACAACCTAACTTTACATTTAAAAGAGCTAGAAAAAGAACAACAAATGAAATGTAAAACCAGCAGAAGAAAGAAAATAATAAAGATTGGAACAGAAATAAATGATATAGAAACTAAAAAAAACAATAGATCAATAAAACCAGGAGCTAGTTCTTTGAAAAGATCAACAAAATTGATAAACCTCTAGCCAGACTCATCAAAGAAAAAAAAAAGGAACTCCAATAAAAAAAAAGTGACAAATGAAAGAGGAGAAATAACAACCAACACCACAAAAATATATAAAATTGTAAGGGAGGGGCACCTGGATGGCTCAGTCAGTTAAGCGTCCAACTTCAGCTCAGATCATGATCTCAGGGTTCATGGGTTGGAGCCCCGCATCAGGCTCTGTGCTGACAACTCAGAGCCTGGAGCCTGTTTCAGATTCTGTGTCTCCCTTTCTCTCTGCCCCTCCCCCACTCGTGCTCTGTCTCCGTCTCAAAAATAAATAAACAGTAAAAAAAATTTTTTTAATTGTAAGGGAATTTTATTAAAAACCATATGCCAAAAAATTAGACAACCTAGAAAAAAATGGATAAATTCCTACAAACATATTACTCACCAAACCTGAAACAGGAAGAAATAGAAAATTTGAATAGCCCAATTACCAGCAAGGAGACTGAATCAGTAATCAAAAAACTCCCAACAAATATAAGTCCAGGACTAGACAGTTTCACAGGTGAACTCTACCAAACATTTAAAAAAGAGTTAATACCTGTTCTTCTCAAACTATTCCAAAAAACAGAAGAGGAAGGAAAACTTCTAAGCTCATTCTATGGTGTCAGTATCACCCTGATACCAAAACCAGATAAAGACACCACATAAAAAAAGAGAACTACAGGTCAATATCTCTGATAAACATAGATGCAAAAATCCTCAAAAAAGTAGCAAAACCAAATTAGCAAAAAATTAGCAAACCAAATTCAACATTACATTAAAAAAACCATTCACCACAAAAAATGGGATTTATTCTGAGGATGCAAGCATGGTTCCACATTCACAAATTCATCAACATGATATATAAACCATATGATCATTTCAACAGACTCAGAAAAAACACCTGAAAAAGTACAACACCCATCCATGCTAAAAGCTCTCAAAAAAGTAGGTTTAGAGGGAACATACCTCAGCATAACTAAGACCATATACGAAAAACCCACATCGAACATCATACTCAATGAGGAAATACTGAGAGCTTTTCCCCTAAAGTCAGGAATAAGACAAGAATGTCCACTTTCACCACTTTTATTCAACATAGTACTGGAAGTCCTAGCCACAGCATTCAGAAAACAAAAAGACATAAAAGGTATTCAAATGGGCAAGAAAAAAAAGCAAAACTTTCTGATTTGCAGATGACATGATATTTCACATAGAAAACTCTAAAGACTCCACCAAAAAAACTACTAGAACTAATAAATAAGTTCAGTAAAATCACAGGATACAAAATTAATGTGCAGAAATCTGTTGCATTTCTATACATTAATAATGAAGCAAAAGAAAGAGAAATTTAAAAAAAAATCCCATTTACAATTGCACCCAAAATAATAAGATACCTAGGAATAAACCTAAGCAAAAAGGTGAAAGACCTGTACTGTGAAAACTATAAAACACTGACAAAAGAAACTGAAGACACAAAGAAATGGAAAGATGTTCCATGCTCATGAATTGGAAGAACAAATATTGTTAAAATATTTATACTACCCAAAGCAATCTACACGTTTAATGCAATCCCTATCCAAAGACCAATAGCATTTTTCACAGAGCTAGAACAAACAATCCTAAAATTTATATGGAACCACAAAAGACTTTGAATAGCCAAAGCAACCTTGAAAAAGAAAGGCAAAAATGGAGGCATCACAATTCCGGACTTCAAGTTTTATTACCAAGCTGGAGTGGGACACCTGGGTGGCTCAGTCACTTAAGCATCCAACTTCAGCTCAGGTGATGATTTCACAGCTCATGAGTTCAAGTCCTTCATTGGACTCTGTGCTGACAGCTCAGAGCCTGGAGCCTGCTTCATATTCTGTGTCTCCCTCTCTCTGTGACCCTCCCCCACTCACACTTGGTCTCTTTCAAAAACAAACATTAAAAAAAAATTTAAATACAGACTAAATTAGAAAGGACATAAGAGTAAATGAACACAAATAGATGATGCTTTAAAACAAACAGAAGGAGGAAAAGAAGAAAAAGAGAAAGGTAGGAAGTATTTGAGAGGCAATAGTTAACATGGAGTCTAAAAGGTATCTAATACACGATGATGATCACGGGTCCATGAAAGAGGGCTAAGGGATTACAAACAGTACAAACTGTAACACAACAGGTCTGCACTGCAGGTCTGAAACTGCATTTTAAAGGAACATACCACCTATCTGTGAATACTGCCTATAATAACCATTTGAAAACATATTCTAGTAAAATTACTGAAACAAAGCACAATACGTAAGTGGAAAAACAGATTACCACCATCACACTTTCACAGAGGAAGAATAGGTGATCCAAAAATTTACTACCAAGAAAACCTAACTTTCAAGTTTGAGCACAAACTGTCATGGACAAGCCAATCCCAGGGCTGCTATCCTGAGCCCACTGAAGAATTGACTAAAGTATGAGCTTCAGTCAATCATAATGAAAAAAGAGATAGGGCCCCTGGATGGCTCAGTCAGTTGAGCGACCGCCTCTTGATTTAAGCTCAGGTCATGGCATGGTTCATGAGATTTAGCCCCATGATGTGCTCTAAGCTGACAGCACAGAGCCTGCTTGGGATTCTCTCTCTCCCTCTCTCTCTGCCCCTCCCTTGCTTACACACTCTCTCTCTCCCTCTCAAAATGAATAAATATTTTTAAAAAAGAGAGAGAGACAAAGGACTAGAAGTGAGCATTAACAGAGTAAAAATAAAACTAAATGAAGATTGAATAGAAGTACGGTATGTAATGGTTATTATGCTCTGGTAGATACAGTATAATCACATTTTAATAAAGTTGGGAGAAGGAAGAGAGAATAAGCCAAAATTTTTTTTTGCTATTTCAGGAACTGTATTCATGTTTGCTTATATTAGATTTGAATCCTTAGTCTCTTGTTTCTGAAATGTGAAATAAAGCAAATGAATAATTTTGAGATATTATAATTCTGTCATCCCCTATCTAATCAAAATTTTCAGTATAGAAGAAAACACAGAAGTAATGTTAGAGGTTAATAGAAACCTTGCAGTTCTGAATTTGAATCCAATGTATCAGTATGAACTCAAAAGAAAGGGGACTGCCCAACCATTCATACTACCTCTGTCTATTGAAAAGGTCTAGAAACAATGACAGCCCAGTAATCTAAAATGCCTTCTCCACTGAAAGACACCAAGGAAGATTCCAGGTAGGGGGGCAGAAACTACATGACAAGCCCAAAGCATCTTGTTATACCAGACTGCATGGAGGTTATCAATGGATCACCAATGTCATTTCCGGAACAAATTGAAGAGGTTCCTGATATCTAGAGATGGGATAATTTGAGCTTCAACAGAATAATAGTCACAAGGGATTAAAGCCCATCATATATGTTTAAATCCATAAGTTCATAACAACATAAAAGAAAAAAAAATTCTGGTCACCTTCAAAGAATGATAGGGAATCAATTCATCCTCTTAAAAATATAAAGAGAAGAAAGCTTTTAATCCTGTCTTGCTTATGCAAACAGCACCCCTAGATAACTAACTAAAGGATGAGGGGAAATATCTCTTTATAAAGTATTCCAGCTAATAAACAGGAAAAGAATGGAACAATTAGAATAGCACCATTTTGCAACCCCCAATGGATTAATGGCCTCAGGCTCTGAGTATCAGTAGCTGCTGACATCGCATAAGGAAAGACAAGCAGGCACAGGGACACAACCACCAATGGTCTTGCCAAAGGTCTGAACTACTTGGAACTCTGAATCAGGAGAAATTTGCAGAAAGACAAGGATCAAGAATAGGCTGAAGTGCAGCAGGAGTATGTAAATCCAGGCTGCAGGGAAGACCAATGGGTTAAAGGCTGAGGTTCCTCAACACATAGATTGTTGAAAAAAAGGAAAAAGAAAATCAAGGAAAGAACTCAAGTTACAATAAGAAACTTAAAAGATAGAAACTATTAATTAGAAAGAGACTTAGAAGAGGGTACACACCTGGGTAACAGAAACTGCCCAGAAATACAAGTCAGCATTATCTCTAAGGGCGGGCAGCAATCACTTTAGTGGGGACACAAGAAGAGTTTCTGGAAACTGGCACAGGATTTCTTCTAGATCTGAGTTTTGGTGACTATGGCAACCACACCTGACAATCGTTAAGCTAAACATTCATTCTGCATGGTTTTCTGTATCATGTTTATTTTGAGAAAAAAAGTATTTTTAAAAAGTTGGGAAATAATTCTAAAGCAATTCTGTAGCTTCTTTTCTATAAAATGGTGTACTTCTGATACAATTATAGAAATGAAGCTATTCTATAGGCAGAGATTCTTCCCCCCTCCTCCCCCTAGGCCAGCGCTGAGTACCTGGTATCTTCACTGTTCCACTGGAGGAAGTGTCGTCTGTGTAGGGATGGCTACTCTCCACCACCACAGGCTGAGAGGACAAGCGACCACTCTGCGAGTCTGTGGCCACATCCTCCAACTCAGTGACACAGAGCTCCAGCAACATATCTGCCACCTGGGGGAGGAAGCAGAGACACGATCAGGGCACCAGGATAGGACTTCAGAATTTGATAAATCTAGTTTAAATAAGGGCTTGGTTCCCTCATCTATAAAATCAAGATAGCACAGACCTCAGAGGTGCTGTGAAGCTTGTAAGTAGCTGGGAGCTGCCTCACATACACAAGACACTCAATATGTGCCAACCAATGAAAGTGTGATCACAACAGTTTTTTATACCAAGACAAGATTACTTCCTAGTGAGGAAAAATCTGCCTCAGGAACAAAAATATCCAGGGAAGGAGCAGAAAGGTGATAAAAATGACCAAGATCCTAGAAGTCACTGGGGGTCAAACAGGAGGGGGCAGGAATAGATAGGAACAATCAAGCCACCCAGATCAAACAGCAGCATAATACCTGAAACAAACAGCTACAAGCACAAACATAAGTGGGATTTCCTTTGACCCAGGACATTAAGGGTCAGCCCCAATGCCATCTTCTCTGAACAATCCATAATATCCTTATGTCATTTTTTTTAAGTTTATTTATTTTGAGAGAGAAAACACACACAGGGGAGGGGCAGAGAGAGAGGGTGGGAGAGAGAATCCCAAGCAGGCTTGCACTGTTAGCACAGAGCCCGATGCAGTTGTCAAACTTGTGAATAATGAGATTGTGACCTGAGCCAAAATCAAGAGTCAGACGCTTAACCAAGTGAGCCACCCAGGCTCCCCAATACTTATTTCATTTTAAAATTTTACTGATTCCACCACTGAAGTGGTAAATACTGGTGATTATAAACTCTTTGATTTCTATTTTTAAAAACAAATAAGAATATGTTATTGTAGCAGTAAGAGCCTGAAAATTTTTGAAATTTAGAGAAAAAAACTATTGTGTATTCCATACTTTCCAGGAATAAATGATTTTTCTCCTCTATTTTTCCTCACATTTAGATAACAAATAGATTAGCTTAGTAAATAGTTTTGTTAATGACAAACTAATATCACTGCTATCTAGGTAACAGGACTATAAATTCAGACATCTCTCTTTTAAGAGTCCCAAATATTAGGTTGGGGTGACACAGGACCAGCATCTTGCCCCTGACCAGGATAGTCTGAAGACAATCCTATCTTTGCTTCTGTTTCCCCTTAAACCTAGTGTGCATCACTGGGACACACATGTTGGGAGCATCAAACACCTACCACACAGTCCATCAGGAGTTTTCTGGGCTTCACAATCCTCCTCTGAAAATTCCATCACTCCCCCAGGAGAGGTCAACAAGAAGAGGGTGACACAGGCATCACAGATGTGGCTTTTCCCTCAGAGCACTCAGGGTCCAGTCCCATTTCTCCCACCCACCAGCAACCTGAGTGTCCACAGCCAGTGGACAATGTCTCAGAGCCTCAGTTTCCTCATCTGTAAACAGAGAACATCTACCATCTATACTGAGAATGCACTTACAACTGGGCCTGGCAGATATGTGTGTACTAAATATTGGGCATTATTACTTTAAATCCATGTCCTCATTCATATCCTTTCCTCTCACAAATGCAATAAACTTGTGAAAAAAACAAAAACACAAAAAAACAAAAAACAAAAAGCTTTTGCTTGTGGCAATTCATCTTGATTCAATCTCTCAGAATTGTGCCAAGTACCTTGCCTTAAAAAACTAGAAAGTAGGAAACCTACCTCTTGTTCTTCCTGAATACGATTAAGAAATAACAAGCCCCAAACCATTTAATTTACTAACTACCAAATCATTTACTATGTTTTCAAGACCACTCAACCACACTTAAGTATTTTCTCATTTGGGCGGCAGTGATACAAGGTCTAGAAAAACACAGGTTACATTTCTGTACAGAGTTCATGGCATCAGACTCCCTGATGTGGCCAGTTCTAAAAAGGCAGAAGACCATTGATAAATAAAAGAGTCGTTAGGAAGCCAAAAAGTGATGCTGACTTTATACCCTAAACTAGCCACACGTTTAAATTAAAGCTAAATAAAATGAAAACTTCAGTTCCTCAGGTGCACTAGTCATCAAGTGGTCAACAGGTACATGTGACTGGAAGCCACTATACTGGATGGCTCAGCTAGCCACCACAGTAGAAAATCCTGATGGACCCCATGTTACCAAATATTAAAACTATTTTAAAGCATAATAGATTAATGTACAGAAGAGTCCATAAATGGACCCAAATATATACAAGAATTTAAAATATGATTAAAATGTTTTTCAAATCATTGGGAAAAGGATGGATTTTTATTATTATTCAATAAATGGTTGTCAGACAACAAGTTTGCCATCTAGGAAAAAATAAAGTTGGATCGCTACATTATCCCTTATATCAAGATAAATCCCAGATGGCTCAAAAATGTAAATATAATAAATGAAATCATAAAAATAAATGGAAGAAACTTGGGAAATTTTCTTTAAATAATGTCACATAGGCAAGCAGTTTTTCAGCATAATACAAAATCCAGAAGCCATCAATGAAAAAAACTGGCAGATCCAACTTCATAAAAATCAGAAATTTCTAAATGGCAAAAAATACCAAAATGATGTCAGAAGGCACAGTGAGGACAACCACAGCACACAGGACAGAGAAAGGGCTTGTTTACAAGGAGTCCTTCTGAACTGCTATCTCCTAGAATAAAATCAAGCACGAGAGAAGGTGTGATGTCAACAGTAGCATATCCCTCAGAGAGGAGCCCACGACACCCATCACATGGCTCACCTGTGGGTATGCGGTACCCATGCCAGACAGCACAGCTGACAGCACATCCCTGCCCTTGTCCCCTGCCCGGCTGCACACGGACAACTTCAGCAAGTCCACCATGACACGAGTGTCATCCGCAATGAGCAGACTAGTGAATTCATCCAAGGACTGAGGTTCTGGGCCTGTTGCTTTATTTTGGCTTTCAACATCCTAAAAAGTCCAACAATTAAAATGAGGAATGATACATTATGAAATAGTCACCAGTTTACCCATAAACTCAAAGAATACATGACTACTACTGATGAATAAGGGACTTTCTGAGGCCTTTAGCCTTTAAGAGCATGAAATGCCAGGTTAAGAAAGGACAGACCTCTAAAATTTCCACCACCATGTACTATGCTTTCAAGACCAATTAACTATTTTACAAAATACTGATAATATCTATGAAAAGGCATGCATAAACTATAAATAAATGACAATTTATACTGTGACCAAATTCGAATCATAGGTGGACGGCCTGGAATGAAGTCACAACATATACAATTTACCCCTCCCTGATTCATAAGATATGCTTGGGGATTTTCTATCAACTAAATTTGTACTTTTACATGTTTTGCCTACATTCTCTACATAACTCTTTCCTAGAATCTCTAAATCGCTTTAAAGTGACTTGTTGGCTGGCATGTAACACAGTATCCATTATCTCTTGTTCCTTGGGTACTTTGAAAATGAAAATAGATATTCTCCTCTTACTTCTCATTCACAGTATGTCAGTTAGAACATACCACACCTGTCATCATTTACCTCTCCCTCCTCTGTAGCAGGTGAAATGAGCCCCTTATTTGCCTGTGGCAGCCTCTGACCTTGTGAGGATGTCCCATCCAGGACTGCTGCCTCACAGCCTGCTATCCAACACCTAAGAGCCTCTTGGGGGTTGTAGTGGGGTGTGACTTATAGAAAGGAACAAGGAGGGGCGCCTGGGTGGCGCAGTCAGTTAAGCGTCCGACTTCAGCCAGGTCACGATCTCGCGGTCCGTGGGTTCGAGCCCCGCGTCGGGCTCTGGGCT